GATTTGAATATCGAGTATCAAAAGTCCCAACAGGCTGTGGTTTCAGAAACTGATGAGAATGGGCCCGCTAACTGGGATCTCGGCCAGCTCCCAACCAGAGAGCTCCAGTTTCATGGGAAGGGAAGCCTCAATTCAGTTCAAAGTGTTTCAAGGCCATCATATAGCTGAGGTGGGCAGCTGCTTCCTGCAGAGACCACAGTTGCAGCAAGCAGAGCTGATATATGATAGGAGAACAAGATGCAGGACTTTAGGACATGTATGTGATGAAGGATAGGGCGAGAGAAGAGCCCCTGGATGGCACAAATGGTTATGTGCTTGACTACTTGTAAAAAGGTTGATGGTTTGAACCCACCCAAAGGTACCTTGGAAGACAGGCTAGTGATTTGCTTCTGAATAGTCACAGCCATTGAAAGACCTATGGGGCACAGGCGTACTCTGTACAAATGAATCAAATCAGTAACAACCAACAACTCCTCAGAGAGTGTAACGGGTGGAAGAGAGTAAGCAATTCTTGGTCTACAGTATGGGCTGGTATCTTTCTGTCAACATGATACAATATTGGTATTAGCACATCACAGATGAGGCACAGAGAAGTATAATGGCTTGTCCAAGTTCCCTAAGCTGGAGACCAGCAAAAACTTCCAGAGAAAACCACTCCAGAGAAATGTCTGAGTGCTCCATCCTGATCCTGACTCCATCCTAGTCCAAGCCACCATCACTTCTCACCAAGATCCTTGCTACCATTTCCTTACCGGTCTCGCTGCTTCCTACAGACCATTCTCTACCCAGCAGCCAGAGGAACCCTTTAAAAAAAATATTGTGGTAAAATACATATCACGTAAAACTTGCCATTTTAACCACGTTAAAATATCCAATTCAGTACTATCTGTTTCTAAAACATCACCTCAAATAGAAATTCAGTTCCCTTTAACTAATAACTTCCTTACCCTCTCTCCTCCTAGTGCCTGGTAACTTCCAATCTGCTTTCTGTCTCTAAACACTTGTCTATTTGAGATATTTCATAAAAAATGAGGTATTGTTGTTAAGTGCCATCTAGTTAGTTCCAATGCACAGCAACCCTGTATGAGGTTTCCAAGGAGTGGCTGGTGGGTTTGAACTATCGACCTTGTGGTTGCAGTCCAGTGCTTATCCTACAGCACCACACCAGGACTCCTATAAATGGCATGTTGTTGTTAAGCGCTGTCGAGTCAGTTCCAACTCGTAGTGACCCTGTATAGGGTGTCTGAGGAGTGGCTAACTTATATAAGTGGGGGTCATACAAATGGAAGAACCCTTGTGGTGCAGTGGATTACACATTGGGCTGCTAACTGCAAAGTCATCAGTTCAAAACTCACCAGCCATTCCTTGGGAGAAAGATAAGGCTTTCTGCTCCCATTAAAATTTACAGCTTTTGAAACCCTAGGGAACAGTTCCACTCTGTCCTACAGGGTCACTGTGAGTCAGAACTGACTTAATGGCAGTGGACTTAGTTTTTAGTTTGGGGTCATACAGTATTTGCTCTTTTGTGTCTGACTTGTTTCACTCAGCATGTTTTCAAGGTTCGTCCATGTTGTGGCATGTATCAAACCTTCATTACTCTTTATGGATGAATGATATTCTGTATGTGTCCAAGGAGGCTTCAAAAGTTAATGGAAAAATTCCCTTGCCTTTTAATTCAATTTCCATGAGCTTTTTGAAGCTCCCTCCTATATACTATGTCTGGTTTATCTGCAGATGGGAACTTGGGTTATTTCCACCATTTGGCTACTGTGAATAGTGTTGCAGTGAACATTAATGTACCCGAGGGTTCCTTTTTAAAATAGAAGCCAATCATAGCTCTGCTCACAAGCCTCCAATGGCGCCCATCATCTCAGGTGGAGTAAGAGCCAGACTCAACACAGGCCTCCACTACTTCTCTGATGTCCTATGAGTACCTCACCTCCATCATCACCCTACCCTGGCCTGCCTGTTGTGCCTTGAATGTGACATGGACAGTTTGTCTCTGGGTTTTTGCAGTTGCTCGTTCATCCACTGGGACTACTCCCCCCAGATGTCTTCACTGCCCCCTCCCTGAGGTCCCATAAGTCTTTGCTCTGATTTCGTCCTCTCACTGTATCTTCCTGCCATACCATGGCACAAGTGCAGACAGGACATTGAGTGACATGTGCAAGGACAGCCCTGTGTACCATGTGGGGATCATGGGAGCCGCTGACATCATGTATCCGGCACCATGTGGGTAACCTGTGAGTGAGGTCTTGGTGGATGAGAGGATGAATAGATAGCATAATCTCCATTCTCTCTCCCTTTCCCATCCCCAAGCTCTCTTCCTTCCCAATTCTTTTTTCTCCTTAGCACTATCTGATGTTGTTGTTGTTTGTAAATGCTGTCGAGTCAGTTCTGACTCATAGCAATCCTGTATAGGGTTTCCAAGGAGCAGCCAGTGGGTTTGAACTGCCAACCTTGTGGTTAACAGGCCAGTGCTTATCCTACAGCGCCATATCAGGACCCCTAAATGAATTGGGGGACGGGGAAGCCAGTTTCACCTAAGAACATCTTTGATGAAACAGTACAAGTGATGATGCTGATGCTGTCAAAGTGCCTTTGAGTCAGTTCTGACTCACAGCGACTGTGTATATTGTTTCCAAGGAGTAGCTGGTGGGTTTGAACTGCTGACCTGTGGTTAGCAGTCCAGTGCTCATCCTACAGCACCACACCAGGACTCCAAGTGATACGTTAGATTAAATCTTGACTTTTAAGGACACATCTTCTGAATATTGTGTTTGATGACAAATGGGAAGTACCCTTAGCATGTCCTGCAACTGCCTGTCCATGGAGGATGGCTGCCCAGAGGAAAAGTGTGTGTGTAGCTGCTTGAGCGGGGTGCTGAACTCACCTTTTTTTTTTTTTTTACAGAACATTATTTTTACTTAGGAGAACAACTGACAGGCAAACTGGGTACTTGGCAGGCATTCTCTTGAAAATGAGCTAGCACAGCCTCCCTAACTTTTAGAAAACAACCGACCAAATTTGTTGCCAATAACAAATGTGAGCTTTCAAGCAAAACATTGGGATTTTAGAAAACTCTGTCTTTCTCATGAGCTTCATAGCTTCTCTATATTGAAAGATTTTTTTGAAGAAATTGGTGGTGATACCAATGGATGTGTTATTTTTCTATTGTATAATGTGGCGCTGTAGGATAAGCACTGGACTGCGAGCTCAGTTTGAACTGAAAACTCCTTGGGAACCCTATACAGGGTCGCTGTGAGTCAGAACTGACTCAACAGCACTTAACAACAACAGAAGAAAGACCTGCATGGCTCTGTGAACCAGTTTTATTCCGAATGACCAACGTGTAATGCTACAAAGACATGAGAAAAAGTCCTATTCAAAATGCAAGACTGACCAGTGGATCTTCTTTTGTTTTGTTTTCAATGGCTGTAATCTTCCAGGAGAAGACTGTCAGGTCTTTCTTCTGGAGTACCTCTGATGAATTCAAACCACCAACTTTTCAACAAGCAGTCAAAATCTTCACCATTTGCTCGTAACCAAGGGATTTTAGTATGGCCTGGGAGTCCAATGTGATTTGTTCACTGCTATGGTTTTGGGTTTCATGCAGCAACTGTCTTTAAGTAACTACCACTTAGTAAGTTCCGGTGTTGTTGTTGTTGTTAAGTACCATGGAATCGGTTCCAACTCATAGTGACCCTGCACAGGGTTTCCGAGGCTGTAAATCTTTACAGGAGCAGAGCGCCTCATCTTTCTCCTGTGGAACGGCTGGTAGTTTTGAACTGCTGACTTTGAGGTTAACAGTCTGATTTGTAACCACTACGCTACCAGAGTTATGGTGTAGTACAGAGAAAAATATCCATACTCATCTCAAGAGGCTATAGAAATACTCCTCCCTTTCCTAAACACCTATCTCTGTGAGGCCAGAGTTTCCTCATCAACTTCAACGAAAATAACATAATGTAACAGATTGAATGCTGAAAGACAAGACAAGCAGCTGTTTTATTTTCAAGTCAGAAATGGAATAAAGCCACTGCCATCAAGTTGATCCTGACTCACAGCAACCTTAGAGACAGAGTAGAACTGCCCCACAGGGTTTCTGAAGCTGTAAATCTTTACTGGGGCAGGCAGCCGCCACATCTGTCTCCCACAGAGTAGCTGGTGGGTTTGCGCTGCCAACTTTTCAGTCAGCAGCCCAATGCCTAACTACCATACAATCAGGGCTCCTGAGAGATGGAATAGATCTACTCAATGTAAAACAGTACCACTCTTTTTTACCTGCTTTGCTGTTTGTCAAAATATCTAGTCATTTTTCATAAAAATGTGCAATTTACGTAAACACAAATGGGTAGATTATTTTCTTAGTTTACATTTCTAATGTGGTAAGGAGCGTAGTGGCTACAGGTCGGGCTGCTAACCTTAAGGTCAGCAGTTTGAAACAACCAGCTGTTCTGAAACCACCAGCCTCATCTTTTTGCTCCCGTAAAGATTAGCAGCTTCGGAAACCCTATGCAGGGTCGCTATGAGTCAGAACCAACTCCACGGCATATCACTACCACCAAATATCTATAGATATGACCTAAATAAATAAAAGCTCCTTGAGGTTCTCACTAACTTTTAAAGTGTAAACAGGTCTGGAAGCCAAAATACGAACCACTGGCTAGAGGGTCGGCATGGTTGGGTGCCAGAGGGCCATGGGCTTGGGTGGGCTTGGGTGGGGCAGGAAGCTGAGGTAGACCAGGTGGGAAACGGTGATGCCTAATCAGGCAGAAGTGGGCAACACTGAAGAAGGGAAACAGCTCAGTGACTAACCCAAGGTGGTGGGAGGCAGGGAGGGTGAGAAGGGAGTTGAAAATGTCACTCAGTGCCTGTTTGGCCTCCAGGTAAATGGAGGTGCCAGTAACCAAGGCACTGAAGATGGAGAAGGGACTGTGGGGGAAGACGAGACCCATTTTATGACAAAGGCATAAGGCAGAGCCCACCAGCCCTGTTACCTTTTTGCGTGGTCGAAGCCTGTCCCGCCATTCCTTCAGGGTCTGGTTATGGCTCTCGTCCAGGGCCTTCAGCTTCTGGGTTTCATGCTCTACTAACAGGTGACATTTTTCATTCTGGAACAAATTCCAGGTAGAACAGGTGAGAAAAATCAGAAGGCAGAAGGAAGCACCAAGGGCTCCTAGAGAGTAGCCACAGAGGTCCCAGCATCAGTTGGTGATTCCTTCTTTCTGTTAATTACAAGCCCCATTTATAGAAAACTATGAACATGTACATCAATGCTCATGGATGCAGCAGTAAAGAAATCAAACTAAGGATCTCCTGCATGTTGTTGTTGTTGTTAGTTGCCATCGAGTCAGAACCGACTCATAGCGACTTTATGCACAGCTGAATGAAACATTGCCTGATCCTGGGCCAACCTCACGATTGTTGTCACGCTTGAGTCCACTGATGCTGCCACTTGGCCAATCCATCTCATTGGGGGTTTTCCTCTTTTTCTCTAACCCTCCACCTTACCAAACATGATATCCTTCTCCAGTAACTGCTCCCTCCTGACAATATGTCTGAAGTATAAGAGACGAAGTTTGGCCATCTTGGGCTCCAAGGAGCACTCTGGCTGTACTTCTTTCAAAATGGATCTATTGGTTCTTTTGGCAGCCCGTGGCACTTTTAGTATTCTCCTCCAACACCATAACTCAAATGCCATC